AGAAGAAAAAGGTAAAGATACAAATTATGAACACAATACGCATCTATCAACAAGTGAATCTAAGAATCACGTGAATAAATAACCTGATGTACAGAATGAACTGGTGATTATAATAGAATCAGGGACATAGAAAGGGAATGGACTGACTATTCTTGGGGGGGAAAGGGGTGTGGGAGATGCGGGAAGAGACTGGACAAAAATCGTGCACCTATGGATGAGGACAGTGGGTGGGGAGTGAGGGCGGAGGGTGGGGTGGGAGCTGGAAGGAGGGGAGTTATGGGGGGAAAAAAAGAGGAACAAATGTAATAATCTGAACAATAAAGATTTAATTTAAAAAAAAATAAGCAGGCTTAGTTGGGAAGAGGTGACTTTTGGCATGGCACAGCATTCCTCCTATTTACTTTGAAAACTGTATGATAATCAAGGACTTGTCAGTCCCCAGATCATAAAAACTAACTAAACACTAAATAAGACCACATGTGAATGATTTTCTTGTGTAACCTACAGTGAGACTTATTTCTTTATCTTCCCATGAGGTTATCCAGCACGTGGACTCCCAATTGGTTTTTTAAGTGTAATATTAAAATTATAAATTTTTAAATAATATTCACTTGCAGCCTAGGGTCTGGTTTAAAAGAGCAGAGTACCTTTAAGTACCAATTGTTAGTTTAAAAAAAAAGAAAGAAAAGAGGGGGCAAATTTTTAAATATAATGCAAAATTAAAAATGGTAAAGTCAGCAAGATGAAGTATACACACACACACACACAAATAAAGCACAGCAAAGGTGAATACGAAAATTAGATAAGGAAACATAAGACATGTGAATCAGAAATACAACAGGTTGCAATTACACGGAATAATCAAGGCAGCTACGATACCCATATCTTATAAAGAACGGAAAAGGCAAGGTTGGGGAACCAACATGCAGCAAACGAGAACTGCAGCAGAGATTTTCCTGAAATCAGCGTGGATGTTTGTTATCTTTAAATTACCTTGCACTCCAAAACACAGGCAAAATTCACATGCACAAGAATCTAGAAATCTGAGAAGTTTCGAGAATAATGAACTCAACCTAGACTCTAGGTCCTAGAGTGAAACATCCGCAAGAACAGTGAGGTGTAAGCTACGACTGGGAAGGAACTGCCAGACGCAAGACTCGGACACCGAGGGGAGACGGATCAAAACATCCTTGAGCGCAGGATGGAGAACGCCTAGGGCTGGATCTGGTTGAAGGAAGACAAAACGGAGAAGCGGGGCCATGGAAGAAGCAAGTAGCGTGGGTGAAACTTAAAAGAGGACCGACCACATGGTTGCCACAGTCAAGTGCAGGACCTACTCATCAGTTTCCGTGGGGCGGGGAAAGGGCCGGAGCGCGCCGGGCCGGCGGCTCTCAGTTTCCAAAAAGCCGCGCAGCTCGCGGCAGCCTCGCAGCCCCACCCCGCGGGAGCAGCTCCTCCCCGAGGAGGATCTCACGAGGCCCACAGCGGGTTCGGGCTCCGGCTCCAGCCTAGTTCCCACCCCGCCCTGGCCCCGCGGGGCAGAACGGCCTCTCCGGGCCCCTCACCGAACGCTGCAGCTCCCCAAGCCAAAACGAGGCGCGCTCCTTTCCGCTGGGATCCGGGTCGTGGTAAAGCGCCTGCACTGCCTGGTACACGAGCTGCAGGGTCGGCTTGGCTCCTTCCATGGTGGTGGCGGCGGTGGCGGCAGTGACGGCTCTCGCTCTTCTCCACGGCTCCTCCGGTTGCTCCGCCTTCGCCCTTCCTTACTGTGTCGGCCACAGCCGCTCCCCGACTGGCGCCATCTCTTCTTTGGCCGTTACCAGGGCAGAGGGGTTCCCGGTGGAAGTTGCCCCCTCGGAAACAGAGGTGAGGTCGTATTCAGGTTCCTGGCCTTTTTTCCGATCCTCCCATTAGATTGCCCGCTTCGGAGTCCTGACGCCGGTGCTCGCCTCTTCACCCACGATTGGCCCTCAGAAGTCCGTCCCAGCACCACACGGACCACGCAGTGTATCCCAACCGCGTTAACCCGGACCGGAAGCGGCAATCCGGATACCTTTGGCACACTTCCGCCTGGTGCAGTGCAAAAGGCCTCCTTCCCCGCACTCCTTTTCAAATCTCCCCGCCCTCTCCCGGAAGTGGCCCTGCAGGGCCAGGAGCCGGAAAGAAAGTGCTCGCTGGCGGTTCCCTCGGTTCCTGGCGTCACACTGGAGCCTTAGGACTGACCTGTGTCCCGTACCGGAGCCGCTCTCCTCTTCTTGGCAATGAATCGAGGTGTTTCCTCTGCCTTCCGACTTCTCCATCCCTCTCCAGATAATCCTTTCCGACCCAAGTGGCCAAAACACGTCAGTGCAACCATGGGAGGCGTGCCCACTGTACTGGAAAGCCAATGACTTAAGACAGGTTTTCTATGCTGACTGGTGGAGGAGACAGTCACGTCAATAACTGTTGAACAAACCTGAAATATATGCCACAATGAAATAAATCCAAAAGGCCTATAGTCCCTGTTCAGACCCCTTTTCCACTACGTTCTTACACCCAAAAGGGTATTTCTTTCTATTGCTCATTCTGAACCCCAGAGTATTTGCATACCTTTAAGGTTATTCCCACATTGAATTGTATTTATGTGTATGCCTTTCTTCCATATCAAAAACCAATGGTCTAACAATGCTCAATTCACAAAATAAAATGAAAATATTTAAATCTACTACAGAAGAAATCTGGGACAAAAGGTAGTAGTATGTTAAAGGATTTCCCAATATTGTTCTATTCCTTGCAATAATAAATGCTACTATTTGCTGGATGCTTACAACTTGTAAAGCACTTTAGTTACAAGATCTCAATTATTCCTTTAGCACTGTACCAATTAAATTCCCATTTTAAGGAATAAGATGGAAGTAATGTAATTTGCCCAAGGTTACACAGTTCTTAAATGAAAGTCAACTGTTGACTTTAAATCAATCTCTATCATTCTGTGATTTAGTTTGTTTCTGAATGGTTACTCTCAAGAGATTGTCACTGCCAACATCACAGTGAAAAGTGTTATTGCACAGAGTTGACATAATTCTGGAAAAGAAAAGAAACTTGATATTTTGGTTACCTAATTCATCTATTCATTAAAAAGAGATTTAGTAGGACCACCTTGGTCTCTGCCCTCATGGAGTTTATAGTCTAATTGCAAAGAAAGATAAGCAATTCAATACAGTTTAAAAGTTCTATGAATATCCACAAGCAAAAGAATGATGTTATACTTACCTTGTACCATATACAAAAAATAAACAAACCCTAGAACCTAAATGTAAATGCTAAAACTATAAAACTCTTAGAAGAAAACAGGAATATATCTTCATGACCTTGAATTAGGCGATGTTTTTCTTAGATATGACACCAAAAGCACAATAATAAAAGAAAAAATAGATAAATTGGACTTAAAAACGAAAAAATTTGGTGTGTCAAAGAACACTTGAGAAAGTGAAATTACAACCCACAAAATGAGAGAAAATATTTGCAAATCATATATCTGATAGATAAGGGATTAGTATCCAGAATATATAAAGAACGCTTACAATTTAACAATGAAAAGATGATTCAGTTTTTTAAAAATCCTCACCTAAGGATATTTTTTCCATTTATTTTTAGAGAGAGTGGAAGGGAGAAGAAGAGACACAAAGAGAAACATCGATGTGTCGACTGGTTGCCTTCCACACACTCCCAGATCAGGGCCAGGGATTGAGCCTACAACCAAGGTATGTGTCCTTGGCCAGAATCAAACCTGGGACCCTTCAGTCTGCAGGCAGATGCTCTATCCACTGAGCAAAATCAGCTAGGGCAATAATTCAATTTTTTAAATAGACAAAGGGCTTGAATAGATATTTCTCCAAAGAATATATACAAATATACATGAAAAGATGCTCATCATCATCAATCATCAGGGAAATACAAATCAAACCATAATGAGATACCATTTCACACTCACTAGAATGACTAACGTAAGAAAGACAAGTGTTGGCAAGGATGTGGAAAAAATGGAACCCTCACACACTGCTAGTAGTATTGCAAATTGGTGCAACCACTTTAGAAAACAGTCTGGCAATTTCTCAAACGTTTAAACATTGCCTGGCCGGTGTGGCGTAGTTGTTGAGCGTTAACCCATGAACCAGGAGGTCACGGTTCCCTTCTCAGTCAGGGCACATGCCCAGATTTTGGGCTGGATCCCCTTCTGGCATGCAAGAGGCAGCCAATCAATGATTCTCTCTCATCATTGGTGTATCTATTTCTCATTCCCTCTCCCTTCCTCTCTGAAATAAATTAAAATATATTTTTTTAAAATGTTTAAACATTTACCATATTACCCAACAGTTTCACTGCAAGAAATGAAAACATGAGTCTATAGAAACACTTGTACATGAATGCCTATAGCAGCATTATTACAACCTCAAGCCCATCAACTGGTGAATGGATAACAAAATGTGGAATATCCATACAATGGAATATTAGGTATTAAAGGAATGACATACTGATCCACCCTACAATATGGATAAACCTTGAAAACATTATGCTAAGTAAAAGCAGCCAGACAAAAACAAAATGTCCAGAATAGGCAAATCTCTAGACAGAAAGTAGATTAGTGGCCTCCCGGGGATGGTGAAGAGGGGAAAGATGAAATGTTCTGGAATTAGATAGTGGTGATGATTGCACAACTTGGTGAATATTCTAAAAACCACTTAATGTATGCTTTAGAAAAATGAGTTTTATGGTATGTGGATTATATTTCAATAAAACCATCATTTAAAAAATTTCTATGATTAGGAATTTTTGAAATACCACATAGATATTTGGCCAATAGTTACAAAACAAAAAACACAAGAACAACAACAAAAAACCCACATACATAGTAAACCCTGGCCAAGTAGTTCAGGTGGTTAGAGCATCCTCCCAATAAGCCAAAGTTTCAGGTTTGATCTCTGGTCAGGGCACTTATATGAATCAACCAATGAAAGCATAAATAAGTGGATCAAACAACTCTCTCTCTCTCTCTCTCTCTCTCTCTCTCTCTCTCTCTCTCTCCCCCACCCCTCCCTATTGCTCCCTCCATCCCTTCACTCTCTCTAAAAAAATCAATGGAAAAAATATCTTTTGGTAAGGATTAACAAACAAACAAAACACATAGTTTTTTATCACTCATATTTTTATCCTCAAGCCATTGTCTAATATATAGTGGGTGCATAGTAAATGTTTTAAGTGACCTACCTCTTAGCTCGTTAGCCTTAGAAAAATCATTCTAGCTGCAACACAAAATGGCTTAGGTGAGGGGAAGGTGGCAAGAACAGGAATAAATTGTTCTAATTGTTCTGGTGAGGAGTGATGGTGACCGAGAGTGAGCTGTTGGCAGTACAGACAGAGATAGGAATATTTAAGATGAATGTAGGAAGACTTTTGATATAGTGATTGTTTGAGCTGCAGGGTAAGAGGAGAGGGAAGAGAAACCAGGCTTCTGAGTATGGAACCCAGAAGAAGAAGCAGCTTTTATGGTAGGGGTGCAGAGGCAAAGATGATGATATGTTGAGTGTTGAGGACTCATGAGACAGCCATGGCCAACAGACTATAGCATGTGTGAAACTGAAGCCAAGAACGGGGTTGAAAATAAAGATTTGAGAGTCATCCATGTATATATGAAGACCAGGTGGTGGATGAAGACAAGGAGATGGTTGGGAATGAAGCCAGGGAGAAGAGGGACTAAGGCAGTTCCCTACAGATAAACATTGCTTAAAGGATTGGCAGAGGAAGTAGAGGCTAGGAATAAGTAGCTAGAGGAGGCCCGGCCACTGTGGCTCAGTGGTTGAGCACTGGCCTATGAACCAGGAGGTTATGGTTTGATTCCAGTCAGTGCATATACCCGGGTTGCAGACTCGATCCCCAGTAGGGGGCGTGCAAGGGGCAAGTGATCAATGATTCTCTCTCATCATTGATGTTTCTATCTTTCTCTCTCTCCCTTCCTCTCTGAAATTAATAAAAGTATTTATTTAAAAAAATAGGATAGTAAAGTAAATGCACTTACTTATCTTGAATGTATTACTTATATTGAAGCAACATCAGATGCTTCAGAGAGGTCAAATATAGTTAGAATAATAAACTTGAAGTAAATAGAAATATTTGAAATACTGAAACCTCTTTTTCTCTTTAGGCACAATGGCCACACCAAGAACGTTGAAGTCTGATGCCAACTTTGATATGCCAAACTCTACTCCCCACAAACATGGCCCTCACTCCTTTCTATAAGAAAAGGAAATATATTTTTTAAGCAAGAAGGCAATTTTCTGAGGGAAAGAAGTAAAGAGAAGGTGTTTCTTTTACTCCTGAATGGTGAGCTTACCGAAAGTTAAAAACCATCCCTCAGTAAGCAAGGTCCCCTCAGGTCCACACGGGGGCTGCCATGGGGGCTTCCATAAAACAGTGGTTCACAACCTGTGGGTCGCGACCCCTTTGGGGGTCAGACGACCCTTTCACAGGGGTCACCTAAGACCATCGGAAAACACATATATAATTACACATTGTTTTTGTGATTAATCACTATGCTTTAATTATGTTCAATTTGTAACCATGAAATTGGGGGTCACCACAACATGAGGAACTGTATTAAAGGGTCGCGGCATTAGGAAGGTTGAGAACCACTGCCATAAAAGCTTACATCTGCCATGGGATGGTGTTTGTGACTCGTGGTGAGCTTCCGGTTATACTCAGCATGGACTGTAGCCCCGTAGAGTCCTCTTTAATTCTCTTTTCTCATCTCCTGACCCCTGCTCCTCCATCCTCCAAACCCCAAGGTGAGGTGAGCCCTTGCACTTGGTGGAGAAGTTACACAGACAGCATTGCAGAGGCCAATGGTTCCTCCCCACCCCTACCCCCATACCTATTCTTTTCTTGTTTGCCTTGTTCAAAACCTTCCTAGAGTTCCTTGAAGGAATACTCTTCTTTTCCTCACTAATTCAAATTGAGTTTCTGTTACCTGCCATCAAACGAGTTTGGATGAATACT